GCCAGCGGTGTCCACAGAGGGGTCCGGGGGGAGCTACTGGAGGAGGCGCGACATACGGCCCAGGGCCTGGCGCGCGCGCGCAGGAGGGGGGGCGCCGCCGGGGAGCGCCAGGGCGCCGCCGCCGAGGGGCGCCTCGCCGACGCGGTGGTCCGGAAGGCGTTGGCCGAGGAGTATTTCCAGGCAGCCGCGTTCTTCGCCAGCCCAGGGCGGGCACCTCTGACGCCCGAGGCGGCCGCCTCGCTCCAAGAACTGCTCGAGCCGCGCGGCGAGCCTGCCCTCGAGCCCAAGCCGCGCGGCGGGCCCGCTGCCGCCCCACCCCTCTCCCACTTGGAATTGCGAAGAGCGCACAGACGGAACCCGACAGGGAGCGGGGCCGCCGTGGGGGGCGGCCGTTTCGAGCGCTGGCGGGTGCTGCTGGCGTAGCCAGCCGCCCCCATTCTGCACCTTCTGCGACCGGCTCGCCACTGGGGGCCTGCCTGCGAGCGCCGCGGACGCACTCCGGGAGGTCTGGACCAAGCGGCTCCCGACTCCCGCTCCGACCAGCGCATCGACTCCAGCACCGACTCCACCACCAGCACCGACTCCAGCGCCGACTCCAGTAACTCGGGTCCTCTGGGATTTCACCGACTCCCTCCCCGACCAGCTCGCCGATTCACGCGCCGACCAGCTCCGACCCCCGCGCCAACGACCACTCCACAGGCAGGTTCGACACTGGCTCCGACCCCAACCACGACCTCAGCGACTAGCCCGATTGCGGCTCCGACTCCCCGCCACCGCGTGCTTTGGCTCCGACCTCATCCCCGACGCCCTCGCCAATTCCGACTCCTGCTCCGATTTTCCTCCCGACTCCCATCTCTTCGTTTTCGGGCCCATCGACATCGGATGGGTGGGTCTGGGACAAATCGTTCTCCGCCTACCACGCCAGAGGATTTATTGACACAGAGCGGTTGCATTTGAGACGCATTTTATTCCTCACCACTGCGGGCGCGAAGGCGGTTGCGTTTGAAACGCATTTTATTCCTTACCACTTCGGTTGCCAGGGCCTCGAAGGTGGGAGGGGGAGCCGCTTTGTTAACAACGCCCCGTCCATGGAACGTGTATCTGCGTCGTTCGCCTCAGAGGGGGGGGCGCGATCGGTCCGCTCCAGTGAGCGCAACAAATCGACACCACGATGGGGACAGCCCGGAGCTAACCTACTCATGTTTCAGCAGACGCGGCTTTGCAGGAGGCGCCTCTGGCGGCCGACCGACCAGAGGATTCGCTCTGGCACCGACTCCGGCATCGTCGTCGGCCGCATCTTGACCGTCGCCGGCGCCGGCATTGACGCCAGCAGCGTGGTCGCATGAACACATCGATTCCCGCATCGACCAGCTCCCCGGGAGGTCTGGACCAAGCGGCTCCCGACTCCCGCTCCGACCAGCACACCGACTCCCGCGTCGACCAGCTCACCGACCCCGTCGACGCTGTGGCGTCCCTCGCGGAGCTGCACAAGGTCATCTGCAGGTCTGGCCTGCTACTCCGCCCCCCGCCGCCCATTACGTACGCGAGTGCTCCCACGCCATCACTTCTGAGGGCCAGGGCCAGGCGCTGAGTTCCATAGGCAGTCGGCACTCCTCGCCTCCCCGGCGTCCTCGCTCCTCTCCCCTTCGCATCATTAGCGAAGTTTTTTTTTTTAGAAGGCCGCCTGCACCACAGGTGTGCTCGCCCAGCCTTCCCCGCCCTTACGCGGTAGGTGTCGGGATGGCTTTGTTGGGCATTCTCTACCATAACTAGGTATACGTGTACTTGCCGACTCGCGTGGGGCTCTTGTGCGTACACCGGCGGAATATATTTGTCTGGTCTTGCGCACGCGCGAGTTTTTTCCCCTCCGTCTTCTCCCCTCGTTGCCTCCTCCTTCCTCCTGTTCTGGCTGTTTTGCTTCTGCTTCTGTTTCACTCTGGGGTTTGCCGGCTGTTTCCTTGCCTCCCGTCCCCTGCTGCTGCGCGTTGCTTTCCGCGTCTGCTGCTGCTTCCCTCTCTGCTGTTGCTGCTGCCGTCCACGCGGCCCGATGCACTGAGTGACGCAGCGTAGCCCTGCTCACCTTGTGTCGACGGGGTGGACGCGGACATTTGCTGTCCGGATCCCCCGCTTCCCCGCCTCGCCCTCCCTGCCTCCCCCTCTCCGCTTGGCTGGGTTTCAAGTTTGCGTGTCAGTCACGGAGCTTGGTCTCCGCTCGCGAAATCTGCATCCTCAGTGCCGTTAGTATGTGGCCAAGGAAGAGGTCCTGGAGGGCACGGCGGAGTCTGCAGAGAGGAACCACCATGTCACGAACTTGTCCATCTTCATCGCGAAAAAATGCGACAGGCCTTGAGTTTCAGTGAATTCTGTCTTACCATGCAGGCCACGTTTCAGTCTTGCTTCGTTTCAGGTTTTCCTCGGTTTGGGCTTTTTCCTCGGTTCGGTTTTCCCCCGGTTTGAGTTGTTCGTCTGTTTTGGTTTTCCTTCGGTTAGGGGGGTCTCGCGCGAACGAGGATGGCATGGCTCGTGCCTCACCGCGCCAATGTCCGTGAGCGCCTTTGAGGGCTTGTGGGTCACGCCCCCCGTTTCCGGGGTATACCTCGGCTCGCTGGCGGCGGCTCGGGACGCCCCGGGCACCCCCCGAACGGCTCTCGGCGAGGCGCAGCCGCCGGAGTGCGTCCTGGGCCTGGAAAACCTCCGAAGGCCCACGAGAACGACCGACAACCTCGAGCCTCGAACCTCGGCCCACTCGCCGGCACGCCTTTCTGAGCGCCTCCCCCTTGGCACCAGGGCGCTGCGCGAGCGCCGCGCTCAGCACGCGCGGCCGCCGCTGCCGCAGGGGCCGCCGCCGGAGTGGGGAGGGGCGCCGCGGGCCCGGCGGCAGCTAGGAGCTGCACCCGAAGCTCGAGAGCTTCCGCAAGAACTGCCTGACCACCGAGGGCTCCGCGGAACGGGGGTGGGGAGGGGGGTTCGAGGTTTTTGGGCCTTGGCGTCGGTCCTTGTCGGTTTTCCAGGCTCGGGATGCTCTCCAAGAGGTGCGCCTCGCCGAGAGCGTTCCGGGGGTGCCCTGGTCGCCCCGAACGACCGCTGGAGACCCGAGTTATGGCCCGAAAACCACGGGGGGCGGGGACGAGGGAGGGGGAAAAGGGGAGGGGGAGGCGGCAAGCTAGGTGCGCTCGCGTCGTATCTGACATCCTACCCCTCCCTCCCATCCCTTACCATGGCGTAGATCCCCTCTCTACTCGCACAGTCGGATGTCGAGCAGGGCAATGATCCCGAAAGGGTACGCGATGCATTGTAGAGCACGGCATGGCATGGCGTAGAAGAGCACCGCAAAGCGTAGTATCAACCTAGCATTGCATTGCATGCCGTGGCATGGCACGGGAAATGACGCCAGCGCTGCAGCGGGAGCACGAGTCGAAACGAGCGGAAGCGCGGAAATGAGGCCAGTGCTGCAGCGGGAGCACGATTCGGAACGAGCGGAAACACGGAAATGAGGCCAGCGCTGCAGCGGGAGCACGATTCGGAACGAGCGGGGCCCGAAAATGAGGCCCGCGCCTCAGCGAGAGCAGCATTTGAAAAAAATGCAGGCGAAAACCCAACTCCCGGGAATCCTGTGTGTAAAAAAGCAGGACGCGGGGGGGGGGGGGGGGGCGAACACTCCCAGCACGTCATCAGGGGAAGAGGGAGAGTAGTGTTCATATTGAGTAATTGTAGAGGGATGAGGAGGGGAAGGAGGAGGCGGAGGAGGAGGAGGATCAGGAGTTTGTGTTTTTACTGTGTGGTTGTGTGGTGTTTTCGGCCTGCTTTTATATCGCTTCTTGTTGCTTTACTTGCCATTTGCCCGGCGTTAGCTCGTTGGGACGTGCTGGACCATCATGCGAACGGTTTTTCCGCCCTCACCACGTGCGCTTGAAAAAGTTTGTATCAGTGTCTTTTTTTGTTTCTTCCTCTCCAGCGAGCAGTTGACATCAGTTTTATCACCCAACCATTTTTGCTAATTTCATTCGCAGCAGAACCAAGTGCTCTTGAACAGTGCACGCAGTATCTCTGCCTCTAGGAGGGAGGCAGTCGCATGTCAGAGCCTGGCGCGAGACGACGCTGCGATTGCGTGGGGTGATCATGCTTTTCGTGAGTGCGGCGAGTGGCGTGAGCAGGCGGCAAGTGTCGGAGTCCCAGGGCTCTAAGGGTGCTGGGTGGAAGAGAAGACGAGGATCGCTCCTCATCTCCTCGTCTCCTCCCCGAGGGAGACTCTGGGGGGGATAGGGGGTCGAGGACGAGGGGGACGAGGAGGAGGAGGAGAAGGAGGAGGAGGAAGAGGAGGAGGAGAAGGAGAGTGCTGCGCAGAGAGGCCTGGAATAGGGAAGTAACTCCCCCCCCACCGTGTTCGAGCCAAACCTTGGTGGATTCATGGCCCCCTAACCTGGCCAGGCTCTGTGTTCAAAACTGGCCCGTGGTATTCAACCTCGCGGGAGGTGAGCAGTAGGATGATGATGTTGATGTTATTGATGTTGATGACGACGATCTTGTGATATTGTTGCTGTTGACGACGATGACGATGCCGATGACGATGATGACGATGGTGACGATGATAACGATGGTGATTATGATTGTGATGATGCTGATGATGCTGATGATGCTGATAATGAGGATGATGATGAACATGATGATGATGCTGCTGATTCGGAGGACTATGATTATGAGGATGATGCTGATCTTAACGATGATGATCCTAATGACGATGATGATGCTTGTACTGATGATGATGCTGCTGATGATGAGGATAATGATGATGACGTCTATGCTGATGATGTTGATGATGACGACAACGACGACGATGACGATGATGGTTATGACGCTGATGACGATGCTGCCGATGCTGCTGCTGCTGATGATGCTGATGATGATGATGATGATGACGATGCTGCTGCTGATGATGCTGATGATGATGATGCGGAGGAGGAGGATGAGGTGGATGAGGAGTAGGGTATCGATGACGACGATTGAGACGACGACTACAAGGACAAACGGCGACGATGGTTATGCTGATGCTGATGATGATGATGACGATGGTGATGATGCTGCTGATGATGATGCTGATGATAATGCACATGCTGATGATGATAACGATGCTGCTGATGATGATGACGATGAAGATGGTGGTTGTGGTGGTGTTGGTTCCGATAGCGATAACGATATCGATAATGACATCGATGATGAGGATGCCGATAATGAGGATTATGATGATGATCATGATGCTATCCTGATGATGCCGATGATGATGATGATGCTGATGCTGATGCTGATACTGATGATGATGAGGTTGATGATGGGGATGGTGATGATGATGACGGCGATCGTGCTGATGATGATGCTGATGAAGATGATGCTGATGACGATGAGGATTGTGATACTGAGGATTCTGATGATGATGCTGATGATTCTGATGGTGCTGATTCTGATGACGATGACGATGGTGATGCTGATGCTGACGCCGATGTTGTTTCTAATGCTGATGATGATGCGAGTGATGAGCACATACTGATGATGATGCTGATGATGCTGCTGCTGCTGCTGATGATGATGATGATGATGATGATGATGATGATGACGATAACGAAGACGACGATGATGAGGATTCTGATACTGCTGAGTATGCGGCTGGTAACGATGATGAAGATGATGGTGATGATGATGCTGCTGCTGATTATCATGATGATGGTGCTGATGATATTGCTGTTGCTGCTGAGGAAGAGGAGTATGATGAGGAGACGTATATATGATGATGAGGAGGATGAGGATGAGGATGAGGATGAGGATGAGGATGAGTATGAGTATGAGTATGAGGATGAGGATGAGGATGAGGATGATGGTGGTGATGATGATGATGATGATGATGATGATGATGATGATGATGATGATGAGGAGGAGGAGGAGGAGGAGGAGGAGGAGGAGGAGGAGGAGGAGGAGGACGCGGAGGAGGAGGAGGAGGAGCAAGAGGACAGCTGCCCCCCCAGTGAAGCAAATTAGCCCATGCCACAGCAATCACGGCATGCGGCGACGCCTCCGCGGATCCAGAGTCATGCTGCACGACGACGACGTCCAGGCAGCACGCACCTGAGTAGGGGACACCCCCCCCCCCCCGGCACACAGGCCAGCACTGGTCTCGAGGTTGCCCACAGAAGAAGCTTCGCGCCCCCGCACCACGCACGCACGGCACGACCGACGAGGAGACCAGCCGAACCTTTACGCGCGGCCCTTGGTGCTTGTTTGCCCGTGGCTTCTTAAGCGCCTCCGCCGCCCGGTTACTTGCTCAATTTTTGGGATCAACCAGTAAGGTGTATTGGAAGCCATAAAACAAACACAGTTTCAGAAGGTAGAAAAGTTGTTCCATGGGCAGGTCGGCTGATTCCCGCGGGCGCTTCGCGGGGAGGCGAGCACGACGCGGCCAAGCCCAGAACCGGCATCTCGCTCGCGCCCGTGCGACCACAGGGCAGGTCGGGGTGACGGGCCCTTGCACGGCCCTGGCAGGCCGTTCCGCCAGCAGCAGCGGGATGTGGCACAGCGAGGCCTCGACGTCATCACATCGTCCCCACCCGCCCTCCTTCGGGGGGAAGATCACACATACACAATTCATCGTCCACTCCCCGGAAAATATGGGACCATACGGGAAGTGGGGGGAATACGAGCATCCAGAAGACGTGAGAAGATCGGGGGAATCTTGGGATTTGTGTATGCTCATTTGTGTGTCCCTGGGCCCCTTCACTCCTCCCCTCGCCCTGCACCGTCGGGGCCCCGCCGCGGCCCGCCGGAGGTGGGGCGCTGACGAGGACGGCCACGACGACGACGGAAGGCAGCTGCACCAGCACGCCGTCCTCGGGACCGCTTGGATAAGCCGCATTTCTGCACCACTGCTTGCGGCACCCGTGCCTCTCGCCGCTACGGATGCTTCCTGCCTCCAAGGCGTCTCACCGCGTGCTGCTCGCCTCCTGGGGCCCAGGCGTCGCCAGGCGCGGGTGTGCAGCCCAGCGGCGCTCGTGCCCGCCGCATCGCCACCCTCCTACTGGGTGCCCACTCCTCCACGCCCTGCCCTCGACGATCCAGCGATAATCCTTGACGGGCTGGAGCCCTCGCACTCCCTCGTCCGTGAGGTGCGAGCGGCCTCCCCAAGTCTGCGGCGTCCTAGGCGCCAGGTTCCTCCTGGGGTGGGTGCAAGCCCCGTCTGCGCTGTGGGGGTGGCACGGCCCTCGCGCCTCCCCCCCCCCTGCTCTCTTCTGGCCGCCTCGCTGGCTGCGCCCTCGGGCGCAGCGGGCGGGGCGGTTGGCAGGGGTTCGGGGGCAGCCGCTGGCGTCGGGGTCCTTCTACCCTTGCAGGGCGAGGCGCCTTTGCATCCCCCCCCTGCGGGGGCGCCGTCTGTGCGCGCCTCACGCTGGTCTCTACTTCACGTCCCGTGTGAAGGCCTGGGCACGCTGTCCACGTTTCCGCGTTCGCCCACGTGGGGGT